GGAGCGCCGCCGCGCTTCCCAAGCGGTGCACTATCCAGTGCGCCACCGGGCTGGCCCGATCCTGGGGATTTTTACATGTGCATGGAGGTTGTATGTGTCTAGGAATCTATCCCTCTCTTCTAGGTTATCCAATTTCTTGGTGTACACTTGTTCATCGTAACATGTGCATGGAGGTTGTATGTTTCTAGGAATCTATCCCTCTCTTCTAGGTTATCCAATTTCTTGGTGTACACTTGTTCATCGTAGTCTCTTATGATCTCCAGGTCTGGAAATCATTGCTGGTGGCAGGAGAAAGGGAGCTGGATAGACCAATGCTTGGAGGCCACAGAAGCAAAAAGAAGGGTACAGATGACTCTGAATAAATGGAGAAGTATTTGGGGTGGTTTACACTGGTGGGACACCCCTGACAGCCTGAAGCCCAGTCCCCACTCTCAGGCTCACGACAGAGAACATTTTTCTTGTTTTCTTCACAAACATGTGAGACTCGAGTGAGATACTGTGTGTGGCATCTCAATCAGGGTCCTGTAATGCATATACGTTCTAGGTAGAATTATACTGCAGTTATCAACTAGTATAAAAATAACTATGATTATAACGATAGTAGTAATAATACAATTAGCAGGTAATATTTCTCAAGCACTTTCCATGTGGCAAACTCTGTAGTAAATGTTTTATATATATGTTATATCATTTTCACAATACTGACATAGGCACTTTCGTAAAATTCATTTTATAAATGGGGACATGGAGAGTTTACCTGGTTGAGTAACTCACATGAGGTTTCGAAGCTTCGAGTGCCGGGTCAAGGCCCGGAACCCAGACCTCACTGACTCCAGAGCACGTGTGCCCTCTCCCACTGCACTGGCTCTTTTTCTAGTTTGTACAATGTTTATTATTATATGTCAAATTAAATTAGCCTTTGGTTATTGAGACCGCATAATATGTCGGCCTAATTTATTCTTTCTTTTAAAATTTGATCCTGGGGATCTTTACACGTGTGTATATTCCTCTGGGTAGAAAACGAGCAGCACAGTCTGTGCTGTGGCTGGGGTGCAGACGCCGCAGCTTGCAGGAGGCTCCAGGGTGGCTGTGGCTGGGGACAGAGTTCCCAGTAAGGTGTCTGGTGACATCATCCTTCTCAGGTCCCAGGTACCCACGCTGGCGTACTGCTCACAAACGACACAATTCTTGCTAGAGCCCAGGGAAGAGAAGAGTTTCTCCTTGGGAGAGCTGGTATGGACAATATGTTACAGCTCAATCCGTTCCATATGGGCCAATCCAGTTTTTTCTTGAAGGAACGCTTAAGATTGAATTTCTTAGTAAGTCTAACCCAGACCTTTTTTGCATTTATGGCAGTGAGAAAAGTGGAGGAAATGGATTTTTTTTTCCTCCCCCCAACTCCACTGAAAAAAAAAAAGATCCTGGCACTCTTGACTGTTAAAGGAACAGATTTGTCTTTCCTTTAACAATCTCTGCCTCCCATTCCCACATCCAGCCCTCCACTGCTCCTGTCTTAGTCTCCCAGAATGGTTTTCAGTCTCCCAAGTGCAGACAAGGAAGACCAGACAGGGTATACGACAGGCCAGCAGCCAGGTACCCACTGTCCTGGGGGGCAGTCTGAGGCTCACCTTTGCAGCAGACTGAAAATCTTCAAATGTTCCACTTCAACATTTGGCTGCAATTTTTTTGTAAAAGGAGATGGCCTTATTCTGGTTTCCACTTATGTCTTCTAATCATGCTCTTCCCATGGAGGATTTAAAAGTATAAAGCAGCCTGTCTACCCACGTGCACAGGTACACACATGCAGGAACATTTTAAAAACTGTTTCTGGCCTCCCTACCACCTCTGACCCTATGCCCCTCTCCTCAGCTGGTATAGATCTGTGCCTCAGGACCCGTGAGACTATCTTAGACCTGAAACACCCTCGTTTTCTCCTCTCCCGGGACTGAATAGTCCCAGTGGGTCTCTGTACTCTCGATGACGTGATGCTCTAGTGCCTGATGGAGTCTCTCTCTGCAGGGCCTGGCTTCTCTGTGTCCAGCAAACTAAAGCTTACTTACTCAGAGGTGGATTTTTAGAAATTCTTCTCCATTTAGTACAGTTTGTTGCATATTTTCACATTCATTAGAGTAGGGAGAAGTGAAATTCAAATTGGTATAATTCAGTCATTGTTAGAGCCCTGGGTAGCCTAAAGGAAGGAGCAGACACCCCAGGGTTAGGATGAGGCTCTGCAGACTTCTGTGCCCCTAGCAGGTCTGAGGAGTTACTGCAAAGTGCTTCCATTCTTTGTTGCCACTTTTATAAAACTCAGGTCACATCTGACTTACAGGGATTCTTCAAATCTTTAGGGGATGGGTATCCCACAAACGCAACTTCCCGTGTGTAGCAGAGTAATAAACTTGTAATTTATAATCACACTCTGGCCAGAAGCCCAGTGGGGGTTCGGGGCACTGATGGTGTTATCCTGAAGAGAGCTCCCCAGTCCTCAGGAGCACGTCTGGGATAAGCACTGAATGTGCCTGAGGGTGTCTGGGCTTCGTCATCTTTTGCAGCATTTAAAGAAAATGACTCGGCCAGAAGTACCACACTGAGTAGTTTTATGAATCTCATGATATTTTTCTTAGAAATGAAAAAACTTCACTCCATGAAAAGAAGAAAGAAACCCCACTTGACAGCTCATGGGTTGTCAACCACAGGTCCGCTAGTGCAAATATGCAATGGGTACCAGGAGTCTCAGTTTGAGAGGAGTGTCCAGGACATAAGGTCACTAAGAAAGAAAACGTAGGGAGTCAGGCAAGAGGTGAAACAGAACAGTGAGAGTCTGACCACCGATCTGGAAGTTTCTGAGCACTCACTTGTAGTCCGGAGACGTCCCATCCAGCCACCTCCATTCATTTTCATGCTCCGAGTCCGTGAGGCCAATCCAGTAGCTATCACTCCCTATTATCTGCTTTTTTATCCATTGCTGAAAAATAAATCGGTGGTGCATCACTATTTCTTGGAACAGATGTCGGAGCAGCTTTTTATTTATCTTTTTAACATTTGAAAAAAAAGAACAACGTAAAGAGGATGTTCACCAGGACTTGCACACCGCTCTGGCTGCCCTCTTTTTTGTTACACTTGTTTCTGTTTTGCACTGTTTTGGGGGCTTTGACTTCTTTTTCTTCTGACAAGTTTACAAGTGATGTTAAAGTGATGCTCTTCCAATAAAACATGAATTCCCCTCGACTCAATCTCCCACCCCTCCTATGCTCTAACAATAGTAACGGCCTGGGCATTACTGAGCTCATCCTCTGGGCCAGCACCCATGTGCAGCATGTCTTGAAGCCTTTACATCAACCTATGTAATAAACATAAGAAGGGGCTGAGCTAGATCGGGCCCAGGTCTGTCTATTCTAAAGCTTGGACACCTGACCACTGTCCTCCATATGCTCATTCCCAGTCCATTACTATGGGACACATCTGTGTTCAAAGCTGTGTCTGCTGGAGACAGGGAAAAGAAAGGTGGCCACTGCAACGGTGTGGCACCAAAGAAAGGGCGGTGTTGCTAGAAAGACTTCAGTTTCTAGCTGTGTCTCCTGGAGACAGTGAAAAGAAATGTGGCCACTGCAACGGTGTGGCACCAAAGAAAGGGCGGTGTTGCTAGAAAGACTTCAGTTTCAGTCTCAGCTCTGCATTTACTTGTCGGGCCATAAGTAAGTCACTTAAACCTTGCTGGGCCTCAGTTTTCTTATCTGTACAATGGGGATAATAATACCTATGTTCTAGGATCATTGTGAGGTTTAAAGGAGATATCTCGTACTGTGCCTGGCACATAGCAGCGGTCTAACGAGTGGTCACTGTCATGATCATGTCCCCCT